CTCTCTGGGCCTCTCGGAGGCCGGTCGTCACTGCGGCCAAGACCTGCCTCGAAATCCTGGTCAGAACGCAAGCCAGGCCAGGTCTGGGGGGGGGGTCTTCGACCCCAACACCGCGAGGACGACGGCGACGGGAGCGACGGCGGCTTCGTAGGAGCGAAGGGCGGCGGAGGCGACAGCGAGAGTGACAGTGGCGGCGCCGGCTGCGACGCGGAAGACGAATGCGGCGGCCGCCGCAGCAACGGAGGCGGCGGTGGTGACGGGAGCGCCGAGGACGGCGGTGGCGGGAGCGACGACGGGCCCCGAGACCCATGCGGAAACGACGGCAGCAGCGACGGGTCTGCCACACACACATTGCGGCGATGGCCTCGACGGTGACGACGACGACGGCGGCGGCGACAGGGACATGTGGTAGTTGGCAAGGAAGACGCTGTTCTCAAGAGGACACAGGATCATAGGGGCCATTTGACGTTTCAGGGGATTTCGAATCATACGGCGTGGGCGAGTGTGTTGCTGTCTACGGGCTGCCACACATGGCAAGAACCCCACCCAAATTTCCATCTGCGAAGATAGCTTCAGACGAGCAGGCACCACGACGTCACCTCGAATGTTTAACACCGACCACAACACTTCAACAAGTTGTAGTCATCGGCAGTCCTTGTTTGCCCCGCTCAGCAACCGCCCCGCACTAACACGCACAAGTGATCCCGCCACGAGGGCGACTGCCTTGCTGGCGTCACACCTGCGGGCCTCTAGGGCACAGGGCCAGCGCGCACTTTCGACCCGGACGCCGTCCCCGAGAAGGGAGCGGCAAGCCCCCAGCCCCTCAGCTGTAGTCGCCGGATTCGGCCTTGCTAGTGGGCCTTGACTGAGTCTGCCAATTGTTCGTGTGGTCCTCCTCCTCAAGCGAGCCTCGCATTGGCGTGCAAGCACCGCGACACGCCTTTGAAGACAAGAGTGCGACTATGACCACCATGGGGCCCTGCCAGTAGCCCAATATATTGCGAGCGCAACACGTACGCACAGCAGTACGCCAGGCCCTGCCAGCACCACAATGGCCTGTAAACGCCACGATCTGCCTATGAGGCAAACGCTTGCGACGTTGAAGGGGGTGCTACTAGGAGCCTACATGAGAGGCGATTCCTGTGGGGACTGTGACAGGAATCCTAAAACGACCAGGCAAGAATTGTAAAGGTTCTTGATGAGATCCAGTGGAAACTGCAGGGGACCCCAGCAGGATCGCATGGGAGGTCCAACATCGGCCCAGAAGACATGTCAAGAGGGTGGGGGGGTGGGGGTGCCGATTCCGTCGGTGACCCACTGCCCGCCCCTTTCTCAGGCCCCCGTCGACTGGGAACTTGATAAGCCAGGACACCGGCACGCACGGGAAAGTTGCAGCCCTGGGCCAATACCTTCTGCACTCTTCGCTCTTCCCAGCTGGATCTGGCAAAATCACGATTTGCCTTATGTTGCTCCTATCGTGATTCAGGGCCACATCCCAGAAACAATTTCGAGCACCCGGAAAAGTGTCGAAAGCGTGTCGCAATAGTGTCGAAACAGTGTCGGACGAGTGTCTCTCTCCCAGGGCCCGCCACGTGCAAACCTTGAGCTTGTGAGTACTTTTTCCTGGCGCTCGAACTTCTTTCTGGTGGTCAAGGCTAAGAAGCAGGTTGGAACACCATAAGATCTGCCATGGCCGGGCTCACGGTGCCCGGGCCCGCTGCCCCTGCCCCTCTCCCGAAGGGCAGGCACCCCTGCAGGCGCCTCCCGAGGCCCGGCAGGGGGCCCCAGCGGCACCCGAGGACCTCCCCCTGGCTGGCGACCCAAAAGGGCCTGGGTCGAGGGCCCCCACCGGGCAGCCGGCTGCCCTTCCCCTCTCGGCCCCTCCTGCCCCTCTCGGCTCCCCCCCTCGCCCTTCCCCGCCGGAGCTCGTGGGCGGACGACGCTCCGCCGCATCCGCGGCCCCGCGGGCCGAGAGCGCCCCCGCGGGGCCGCGAGCGCCCCGAGGGCGCGAGGCGCTCTCCTCCTCCGCGGGCGCCCCGCGCGGAACGGGTCCGTGGGACCGCGTATCCGCGGGATCGTGCCCTGTGGCTCAGACCGCGAGGGCGCGGATACGGACATGCTCGCCACTCGCGGGGAGCCTCGAGGGCGGCGGAGGCGGGCTGTCGATGGCGTCCGGGTCCCCGGCCTCCGCAGCTGCGGCGCCGCGCGCGCTCGCAGCAGCCGCAGAGCGGGCGCGCCCGCCCGGGGGCAAACAACAACAGGCATGCACCACCCCTGCTCCAGCTCGGGCCCACGCGTAGGAGGGACGAGAGTGAAGGATGCGCCCCAGGATTTCCGAGAATGTCTAGCGGCCCTCGTTTCTGCAGTCATCGTGAAACGTCAGGAAACGACCCCTTGCTCTTCTGACCTTGGGGTCTGTGACTGGTGTCTATGCGCGAGGGAGCATACCTTCCACGACCGCAGTGTTCGGAGCGGCGAGCGCGGGGAACACCAAGGCTGCGCCCCCACACCCTCCCAAAGCCCCGAATCTGGCCGAATTCGGCGAGCGGCGCGTTCCCCTCCACGCCGACCACAGCGTCCCCAACTCAGTAGAGGTCGACAGAAGTTTCGGAAAGCGCCAAGATGGCCTGGCTGGGAGCCGATGCGCACCAAGATCTGGCCCAATGTGGGCCCCAGCTGGCCTGGTAATCATGTTATGTATTGGCCTTCTGTGGACAGCCTCAGAGGAGCAGCGTGTCCAGACTGCTGGCATCGTGAAGAGATGATCACGGGCGTGCGTTCGCGGTTCGAACGCCTGGGGTTCGATCCGGGGCCCCAAGCCTAACAAACACTTACCGGTCCTGGGATTGAGAATCGAGAGTTCCGAGCTCACGTCGCGAAAAGATCACGATGTCGAATGTGTGTGCGCAGTGGAACGAATCTCACTGCCAGACCGATTTGCTAAAACACACATGACGATCCACATCCCAGTGTGTATGTAGGTGAAGCTCGCTTTACACGTTCATCACAGCCAGAAAGTGGATATTTTTCTGCACAAGTGGATATTTTTCTGCACTCCCAAACTGATCAGAGCGGCACTCTGGGAGGACCAGAGCTTCAGCGCCGCTGCGTCTGTGGGAGTCCTGAAAAGAAGCGCTGCTGTCCCGGGGAAACTGGTGATCCTGGGCAGCCTGGATTGCCCGTAGTGCTTGGCAAGACAGATCCAGACCTCCGACGACTCGTTCTTCTCGAGTCTTCCGCCCTTGAAGTTCTCGCCCTGCCCCAGAAACGCCTTTCCATCCTCTCGTGGGCGGAAACGTATCTGTATACATGGCCTCGCGGGCCGGGCCAATGGGCCACGACCCCGTGGATATACGAGGTGTTATTTCGCTGATGCCCCGCTCTGGAAGAGTACGTGCGACCACGTATCCCCGGGACCGCACTCCGGGATCCAGACCGCGAGGGCGTGTCTGCGGATATGTGCGCCGCTGATGCTCCTCACGCGTTTTCAAACGGCCCCCTGGCCTACTACCCTCGTCCAAAAAATTAACTCCGAAACGGCGAACGCGCCCCTACGATGTCGGCGCACTCTTCAATGTCGATACGACGCCCCTCCAATGTCGAGGCCAGGGCAAAGGTGGTCTGACCGAGAACGACTCGGAAGTTCGATGACGACCGACATTGGAGGGGCGGCGCATACAAGTATCTCGCAGTCATCGCTACTCTGTCCAAGATCTCCCCACTAGCAGTTCAGCCACGTAAGATATGTTTGAGGTTCATTTTGCCGAGGGTTGTAGGGACGGCCCCAAAGCAATCTAGACGGTGCTGTCCCTCGACCCGCGCTGAAGCTCCCACGAGTCCCCCAGATATGCCGGAGTATCTCTGGAATCATCTAGATGTGTGTGGGTTCACCTCGACTTACACGGATCTGCCTTGATGTACTTGACTTGATCGCCACGGGTCGATTGGCGAAAAGTCGCCAAACCATCAGGGGGGGGACGCCGACACGTCCGGGAGAGACGTCCGCGGCGATGTGCTCCCCCGTCGACGGGAGAGCCATGGCCGGAGAGAGGCCTGGAGCCGTCGCCGGCGAGGGCGGCGCAGGAGGGATCCGAGGCACCGTGGCCGCTGCAAATGGAAGAAACAATGGCAACACCGCACCGTATGTTTCCTCAAAGAGGGCCTGGGTTTTTCATTTAGGGAACCGAGCTCTATACACCAACGCCTCTGTCTGGCCTCACACTGAATCCCGCACAGGAAAGCGGATCCTGGTGTATACGGGATCATGGTGTCTACATTCTTCGCTGTTTCTCCGGAAAACGGGGAAAAAAGTATACACCACACCACCCCGACGTCGTCCCCGAGCCTCAAGAAAATCCTGGGATTGAACAACCGCCCGCCACTGGTAGTGTATATGCTCCAACTTCCGACAAATGGCTGCTGTGTGTAGGGATGGGTCTTCCCGGAAAGCACTTGAATCTGGGAGAGGCGAGATGAGAGATCCAGCAGACGGCATCGGCTGCGGTGCCGCGCCATTCCTGAGCGGAGGAGAGGATCGACGGAGGAGGACGGAGGAGAGGGCAGACGAGACGGAAAGAGGAGGGAAAACAAAAGGGAGGAGAGGAATGGGTGGTTCGAAGATCGGGGCCCCATCTGGATTACTGCAGACGGGCCGTGTCAGTGATGAACCGCTCTAGTGCGCATGGCAAGGCGAGAATCAGTCACAACTTGGCTCGAAAACAGCTCGAGATTACTGGAGCCAGAGAGAATCCCAAATCAGGCTCAGGAGAAGATGAAGGAGAGGAGGGGAGGAGGAGGAGAAGTGGGGAGGAGGAGGAGGAGGAAGAGGAGGAGGAGGACGAGGACGTCACTGAACTGCACGTCAGAAAGCAATGGTGGGAGCGGCGACGGCCATCAGCTCTCGGAGTGGCACTTCGCACGCTGTAGGCTCGCACCGTGCCGTGCACACACACACACACTTGGCTGTAGCAGACTAGGCAGACTAGACAGTGTCTGTTGTGAGAGCATCTGAGCAGCGCAGTGCTGGCATCACCGATTAGAATGGAAATGAAGCGCCAACGAGGGCAACCACCCGACAACGAAGGCGAGAGGCGGGGGAGGTGCAAGCGCAGCAGGGGCAGAACACTGGGGCAACGCAACTCATGTAAAATATGGTCCCGGTCAAATGGGGGTCTACTCAAACGAGCGACGCTGTAAATCTTGTTTGAAATGACGGGTAGAGGTCCACCCGTTCCTTTGTGTTCGAACCCCAGGGGAGGAGAAAGAGGATGAGGGGGAGAGGGAGGATGATGAGGAGCACAGAACACCAGGGGCATTGGTGAATGTACGAGTTTGGACTCTCTCGCTGGATGCCATTGCTATGTTTGCCATTTGAGCGAAGACGTATTTAAGATGCCGCGTGTTCGAACTTCCCATCTGTACAGAAGCGGAAACATGCAAACACTGCATGAAGTGCGAACTGAAAACTGAGGCGCTCCAGGCCGAATAAGAGCCTCACAGAAAAATCACCGCGCAATGAAAAGTGTACGAAGGTTTCACGGAAACGGTTAGCTCGAACGTCGATGGTGTCGCCATCTGCTCTTCGGCCGATCGGCCGTCTCTGTCGCATCTGGTACATCTGGCTTGGTGGTTGGGTCGCCTGAAACACACACCGTGTCCTTACACTCATCAGGGCGATCGCTTGTGGTAAGCAGTGTGTCCATTGCTGCATCGAAATCGTCAGAACAATGGTTCAAGGCAGGAACAATAACATCCAGATTGAAACCAAGCTGCGACAGCATATCTACAGAACTTGCTCGTTGTGCTGCCCAAAGTGCCTCCGCTTCACTTTCCATCTGCCACTGGTTCAACTGCTCCTCTGTGTAGCTGCAATACGAACGCCAATTAGGGTACCAAAACAGAGACAGAGAAATCCGCTCACCAATGGAATTCGGCATTTTAGGAACTGAATGCTTTTGAGAACCGAAGATCAATACGTCCCCATCTTGCAAAATCAAATCCATTTGGTCCAAAATGAATACACGGGATGCTCCGAAAGAGAATGTGGCACTCCAGAAGTCGTGCTGGTGTGGGGCAATGAACGCCCGCCCATCCTTGTAGCGATTGCAAAGAAGGTACGCTCCTGGGTCATCAATCTCGTACTCCTCAATGATACTCGCGATCGCAGCGTCCACGACTGGAACGCCAGTGCGCAAACCACACGACGCCTTCTCGCGCAACAGACGGTGGCCCGTATCCCATACTTCGCCGGTGTCGTAGTCCCGCTTGAGTGCTGGTGCCGCAACCCACGACAGGGAAGAAGACAGGGCTCTCAGGACAGCGCCAGACGATTGCACAAAGGCGCGCCGCAGTTCGGCAGGGCGGAAGGGCTCGATGCCTCCCTCGAGGCAGCGAAGGCCATGATCTGCGATGTACTTTGGCACTTGCTTCGGAACCGGAAGCTTGTCCGGAGCTCTGCATGATTTTACAAATTCAGCTGGCAGCCTCAACCTTTCTGCTATCTTCTGGTCACTGTGCCCGCAGTTTCTGAAGTGCACCACTCTGATGCTGTCCTGGTAATCCTTCCTGACGCCAGGAGGCTCGTCCAAAGTACCGAACACATGTTTTGCTGCGCTCTCTTCCGCGGGACTCATTGTTTTTCGATTCTGCCCATATGGCTCAAACATCACACCCGTCTCAACGCAATCATTGAGCACCCCCTGCTTGCGAGAACGGACGTGGCTTTCAAAGAGCTCGTCCATTGTGATACCTGGCTAACCTTCATGATCCCTCCAGCTTGAACCGAACTGGCTCAAGACCCCCGCTGGATACCGCATGCCTGCATTCCCAAGCAGGTGCCTCCAACAAAAGAAGCCCAGAGGGCCCACAGGACATTTCTTCACGGGACAAGCCCTGGAAGGTCCTAGCGCGGATGCCTGCTTCTCACCCGTCGATCCTGCAGACCAGGGCGGGGGCCCATTCGCAGAACGACCCACCGAGCGCCTGTCCAGGCGCGCATCCTGGCCAGCACTTCGGAGGGGAATCCGGCTACAACGTGGAAGCCCCCGAAGGCCCGGACTCTATCAAAGCCAGCTCCCGGGGCACTCCTGGAGTAAGACGAAGCCAGGACGAGGCTAACATCGGGCGAGGATGAATCGAAAGTCTCTGAGCTGCGGCGGCTCTGGAGGATGTACCGGGCGCCGCGGCCTTCTCAGAGCGTTCCAGAACGCTCTGAGAGCGTTCCAGACCGCTCTGGAACGGATCTATCCTCGACGGACCCACGAAGACGCAAGACGGCCCCACGAGACCCCCAGACGGCCCCAGGGGGCCGCAAGACGGCCCAAGAAAGCCCCAAGACGGCCAGAGATGGCCTCGAGACGGCCAGCGACAGGGCCCGAGGAAGCCCCACGACTCCCTCAGAGGAGCCCCACTGCCCCAAGGCGGCCCTCGCACGCCCCATGGATTTGGACGCCCGGAATGGGTACGGAAAGAATGGGTACACTGCCCAACAACAAATGCTGTCCCAAGCCAACAGCGGCCGCTGTTGGGCAGGCGGCCTGCTGTCTCGAATGGACAAAGGCCGCGGCGGCGCGGACAGCGGGTCCGGTTCAAGATGAACAGGAACTGCTGGAGGAGGAGGAGGAGGAGGAGGAGGAGGCGGAGGCGAAGGAGAAGGAGGAGCAGGAGGAGGAAGAAGGGGAGGAGGAGGAGGAGGAGGAGGAGGAGGAGGAGGAGGAGGAGGAGGGGGAGGAGGAGGAGGAGGAGGAGGAGGAGGACTCTTTCCATGCCCATTTCGTTCGTGCAGACATGGGAGCAGGCAGCGGTGCCCTGCCTCACGGCGTGGCGGGCGGTGCTCGACGGCCGCCGGCACACGGCGTGCACCGCCGGACACGGTGGCGGCTCTGCACCCGGATGCCGGCCCCTTCCCCTGGGGGCTGCCCTGCCAGCTCCTTCGCTGGCCTAGATCTCGAATGCAATGCAGGAGGCGCAGATCATCTCTCGCAAAAGATTCGCAGTGCCAATAGCTGTCCCGTCGCAGCTATGGTTGCAGGCCGAATCCAGACGTCTCGATACCGTCGGCGAACGTACCTGGTGACCTTCTGCTTCGAACGTCCTGAATCGATGTTGATCGATCGGTCCGGCCAGGGCCCGAGCACGACCCCCTGGGGGACGAAGACGAAGACAAAGAAGCCGGGCTGAACGAGAGAATCCTCGGAAAACGGATGGGGGCTGGTGGCCCGCCCGAAGCCGGGCCCGCGCACCGCCCGATGCCCCGCCCGAGGCCGCCCGAGAACTGGCCCGACGCCCGCCCGAAGCCGCCCGAGCCTGGCCCGACGCCGTGCGAGATTGGTGGCGCGCACTCGGGGGTGTCGGGGAGGGGGAAGGCTTCTTCGAAGGAGGCTGCTTCTTAAGACGGCGCGGGCCCTACATCTACGGACAGGGCCCGCGCCTTCTGAGAGGCAGGGTGCTTCTGGGAAGCCTTCCCCCCTCCCCCCTGACTCCCCTTCTGCGCGTGTCCGACGAGAACTGGCCCGAAGCTTGCGCGAGCCGCGCCTGGAGCCGCCCGAGGCCCGCCCGAGACCTGGCCCTCGACCACGCCTCGAACGGCGCCGCCAGCGACGACGGCGACCTCGGAGATCGATCTTCAGGGTCCTCGGCGGGCGGTGGCTATGGACATGTTCGGCCCCTTCCAAGCCCAGACCCTTCGGGCTATGAAAAAACATGACGGACAGTTGTTCTAGATTGCCTGCGTCTTGGGGTACTTACCAGGCCTCGGGTGCGTCCAAAAACGATTCAGGATGAAAGATCGGTCCCAGGGAATGGGTCGAAACCTCTGGGGCTCGACGCCAGGACAAAAATCATGACGCCGGGGGTTGGAGAGCCTAGATCCTCGAACCTCGGTGTCGATTCTCTGATTTTTGGGGCAGCAGAAGCCCCCCCCCACTTTGGGGCGTCGCCACGCCATGCTATTGCTACGCGTTGGTATTCAACACCATGCTATGCCATGTAATGCTACGCCATGCTGCGACATCTGACTGCGCGGACAGAGAGGCGATCTACGCCATGGTGGGGGGGTGGGAGGGCGGGGTCGGACGTCAGGTATGACGCGAGCGCACGTAGCTTGTCCCACCCCCTCCTCCTCCGTCCCCTCCTCCCCCTCGGCGGCGCGCCCAGGCGGGGGAGGGTTGTCGGGGCCAGGAGGGGGGCGTTGATCGGTTGTGGGCGAGAAATCCGTGGGGTGGGGGGTCCCACAAGCATAGGCTCCGCGGATGGGCGTGTCGGGGCCAGGAGGGAAGCATTGGTCGGCTTGGGGCGAGAAATCGTGGGGTGGGGGGTCCCTTAAGAACAGAGGCTCCGTGGGGGGGGGGGGTCGGGACCAGGAGGGGGGCGGGCAAGCCTCGTCCGAAGGCGGCGGGCGCCCGTCGGGCTCGACGGGCTCCTCGTGGACGAGCCTGGCGCGGCCGGGGCGGGCAGGTCGGCGGCGTGCGGACGGGGGGGGGAGCGTCGGGGCCGGGGCACCGGGCAGGGAGCCACCGGACGGGGGAGCCAAGGTCTGGAAGCCGGTGGGCCTCCGGTCGTGGCTTGGCCATGGCTGCCACCGAAGCCTCCTACGCACATTGAGAAAAAGAAGACGAAGCAGAATGATAAGAAGAAGAAGCAGAAGAAGAAGAAAAAGAAGAAGCAGAAGAAAAAGAAAAGCAACGCCATAAACATAAGCTGTCGACAGTCCGCGCGGATTTCTCGGATCCGCGCTGGGCCCCCCCTCTCTGGCGCGCTCCGCGCGCCAGGGGCGGCGCCGGAGTCGCCGGGGGGTCCTGCGCGGATCCAAGGAATCCGCGCGGAGCGCCAAAAGATTAGGTTTCTGACGTTGTTCTTCTTCGACCATATTTTAACGCACGCCTCCACTGTAGGGGGGGACGGTCTCGGGGGGGGGGGAAGCGTGGAGCTGGAAGCGGCGACGCATCGCCGATGGATCGGCGTCGGGCCTCGAGGCTATAGGGCTCCTCGGGTAGGCTCGGGCGGGCCGGGCAGGACGGCTGCATTTACAGCAGGCACATGCGAGAAGAAACCTCGGGGCACGTTCTGTACGCTGCATCCTCAAATGACCTGGTCTGCCCCGTCGCTGCCCTATCCGCGTCGAGTCCGTGTCGAATCCATGTCGGCCTCGTCAGATCCGTGTCGAATCCGCGTCGAATACACACCAAATCCGCACGACGAGGCCGCATCGAGCCCGCGTCGGGCACAGGAGAAGGCACCAATTTTTGGGGCAGGCGAGGTCCCCCCAAGATGCAACGCAACGCTCTTCGTCGATCTTCTAGGGTGCTACAGGTGCCCCAGGGCTCCTGCGGGTCCCTGGGGCTCCTTCGGGTGGTCAGACATTTCAGTGGGGCACCTGCTTTCAGGCCGATCTCTTTCTTCTGCGATGCCCCTGCTGTATAGGTGGCCCGACTTCGCGCATGGCGGCCCGCGCTGCGCCGCCATGAGGCGACCACATGTGAGACCTACCCCCACCCCCCCACACGATTTCTAAGGAGAGGGTAAGGGTAGGGTTAGGTCGGGCGTGTCCCCAAACACGCGGATTTTGGACGAATCTTCAAACATATGTTTTTTAATACAAAAAACCCCAAAAAAGGTTCAACCATTGCCAGAGAAATAATCAAAGAATCGTCCCCAGACTATTTTTTTACGACCTGGGACTACTCATCCTGTAGAGGGACGAGCCCGACTTTCCAAGGGTAGGGTTCGCGCGCGGTCACCGAGCCGCCTTCGCCCCCCCGCGTGCGCCCCCCCCCCGTGGTCGGAGAAGGGCCGCTTCTCTGGCGCCCAGGCCGCGAGGCGCGGAGCGGCAGGTTCGTCTCGTTCGGTAGAGGGCAACAATCGCTGGACTTAGGTCGGGCCTGTCTCCCTACAGGGGAATTTTGGGCGAAAAATAAAGAATACCCCCAACATGTTCCGAAATGCTAGAAAAACACTCAAAAAATTGCCTCCAGACTAGTTATGGAATATTCCCCCTGTAAAGGAACAGGCCCGACTTAACCCTCCCCCCCAAGCTCAAAGTTGGCACGCGCGGGGGAGACTGCGGTCGAGGTGCAACTCATCAGGCCCACCGCCAACTCTGAACATTGGGGGGAGGGGGAGGCGTTGACGGATGAAAGGTGGTATGAGTGTTCGCTATTCTTTTCCAAGGCCTGTTCGTGTCGTGTCGACCCTGGCGTTGGTTCCTAACACCGCGGGGATCGTTCAACCTTGACCGATCGGTAGTTTACCAAACGTCCAATCGTACAGCACCGACACATCTTGGGTCGCTTGCGGCGTTCAACCTGGAATTCCCACTCTGGGGTCGCCGCTTGTCGACACGACGCGACCCTACCGTATTCACTTGCACGGCACGACGGGAGGTCGGGGCGAGGCGCTGATCCTGGGGGAAGCAGGAGCTCCGGGGCGCTCCCTGCCACCAGCTCCGGAGCTCGGGCGCCAGATGCAGCCAGTGCCTAGAAGTGCTCTGCTAGTGGCTTAGCCAGAGAGGGGGGCGGGTGCAGGGTGCATCTAGTTGGACGGCACCCCGAGAAGGTCGGCTCGTCCTGGATGCCTGCCCGTCGTCATCGTCATCAAGGGCTGAGGGTCGAGCATCGGGGATCGAGGGCTGACGTTTTGGATCCCTTATGGGCCGTCTGGGGCCCCCTCGTGGCCACTGCTGGAAGCGGCCCCCGAAAACTTGCCTCTACGTGTGCTCTGGGAGGGGTCCAAGGGCCGATGTTGAACAGATGTCTGCCCCAGGCGAGGGGGGCAGCCTCTCAAAAAGCCAGGGCAGGGGGCTCTCAATGAGGGGGGCTCGGGGGTTTCCAGGAAGGCTTCCTGGGGGGCCCCGCGCGCGGTCATGCTGACCTGGGCGAGAGTGGGCTTGGCTCGGCACAGATTCGGAGTAGTCATGATAGCCGAGCCCCTTGGACTTCAGCTTATGTGAACTCAGCCCTTCTCAACATGCCTGCATCTGGCAGGGCCAAGCAATGCTTAGCTTACCTCAATGTAGCATGTGCTCGCTAGTGGTTGCGTTGTTCAGGTGAAGGAGAAGCTGACGCGCATCGCCTTCGCAACGGACTTCACAACAGTTCAGTTCAGCCCATATTCCTTCACCCAAGCTCGGCGTAAACAAACTCATCCTGACCTACATTCGATCCAACCTTCTATTCGGCTTCGAGCTCAATTTCATCTGCAGCTTCTGCTGCAGCCTCAGTCCGACAGAGACCTATACTTTCACTGCTGCAAAGGCTATACATGTATACATACCCTGGCACATCCGACGACAAAGCTCTTGCACACTGGGCCGTTCTGGCGCGCTCGCCCCACACACACACACACACACACACACACACACACACACACACACACACACACACACACACACACATACACACACAAACTCACGCACACACGCACACACGCACTTGCTTGACGTCGCGGCCCAGCGCGCATCTACAGGGCGTCCAAAGCACACACACACACACACACAAACGCATCCACACGACACAGCACACAAACACCTAGGCACACCCCTGCACACACACTATCACACACACACACGCACGCACGCACGCGCACGCGCGCGCGCACACACACACACGTACACACAATCCACACACACACACGCGCGCGCGCTCAAGCACACAACTCGAGTATGTCCTCAACATCGTTCGATGATCATCATGTAAGCGGGCAAAGTACGATGAGGGGCTCCAGAGCTCTGATGGGATAATCATTCAAACGTTATGGTTGATGACAAGTTCTTCGTGCCCTCCCTTCGCAAGATGTTCGGACTCCCCATGCGTGGAGGAACCAGAGGCTCCACAACATAAAGGTGATGAATGTGACAACGAAGTGAAACGACTCGCGCTGGCGAGTTGCAAATCCGAAGGACCCCTGAAGAGAGGTATTATGCATGAGCATGTGAGACTGTGCTACCAAAGCCCAAGGTGCCGAGCGGTCTGGGCTTAGGGCTCAGGCTTAGGCGCTACCTTCGAGACTTACTGTAAATCACTGCTCTCCTCCAACCCTCTCATCATGCTCAGCCCACGCTAGCAGCATTCCTCCTTCGCCTCCTCCTCCTCCTCTCCCTCCCCGTTGCCGTTCTCCCCCTCCTCGCCCTGCTCCTGCCCCGCGATCCGTCCAACGCCCTCTAAACAGGGGCGATCCGCGATACGACGTCCGCGCCGTCACGAGCGAGCGCCGGCATCGCCACTGCAGCTTCCCCAGCAGGAAGCTGTGCCCGGCCAGACGATGCAATTCGGAAGAGCCTGCCCGCCCCAACGACGGCCCCGACCCCGTCGCCTGGACCTCCCTGGCGCCCCCTTGGCGTGCTCGCGGGCGGGCCTCGGGGCCCCGCTCGCCTCCGCCCGCCCGCCTCCCCCTCGGGCCGCGCTGAGGGCCCCTGGCCTCAGGTCGGGCATGTCCCTCGTATGGGCGGATTTGGGGCGAAAAATGGCAAAGTACGCAAAACTACTCCAAGACAGTCCAACGATACTAACAACAAAACAAAAAAAAACGTCCCCAGGCTATATTTGCTTTGGGCTATGTCTGCGTCTGCCCCCCTGGCAGAGGGACAGGCCCGACCGAACCCTGGCCGCCGCAGCGCCTCGGAGCACGGCGAGCCCAGACCCCGGAGGCTCCAAAAACCGGCCCCGCTCGGCCGGGCAGGCCGACGGCCTCCGCCCGCCCTCGCTCGGCGAGCCTGGCGATGTCCCGCGCGCCCCCGCGCGCCCCGGTGGGGCCCCCGGGTGGGGCCCCCGCGCGCCCTCCTCGAGGGCACGAGGCCCCGCTCCGAGCCCACGAAGCCTCGCCCTCGCACGGCGGCGACGCCGAGCCAGGAGGCCCCCGACCCCGGCCACGGTCGGCGAAGCCGTGATCCTCAGCCCCCGCCTGGGGAAGCCTTCGCGCGGAAGACCTCTTCCCGAGCGGGGGGCCGAGACGAGGCCACGAGCAGGACGACATCGCGCCTGGGAACCTCGGCCGAGCTTGTGACGTCGCGGGGGTTCAGCCTGGAGCGATCGCGGCTTCCCGATGGCGCAACTCGTTCGATGTATGAAGAGCCCCCCAAAAAACGGCATAAACATAAACTTGTGACGGTCCGCGCGGAGTTCCTCGGATCCGCGCCGAACCCCCCCCCTCCCTGGAGCGCGGAGCGCGCCAAGGGGCCCGGCGGCGCCGCCCGGGGGCGGGGGGGGCCCCAGCGCGGATCCAGGCGATCCGCGCGGAGCGCCGAAAGTTTTGTCGTTCATGACTTTCTTTCTTCCTCGGAGACAGCGCCATTCGTTCAAACCGTCGGCCGCTCCTGGGCCGCCGCCGACGTCTCACACGCCCGCGCCAGGGTCGCCGCCGCGACGGCACGGCACGGCACCTGCCGCACCCGTGGGGGGGGCGGCCTGCCTGCCTGCTCGACCAGAGCCTTGCCGGCAGCTTCTTGCGGCCGTCGCCCCTCGTGGCCGTCGTCGTGGCCGTCGTCGTGGCCGTCGTCGTGGCCGTCGTCGTCGTCGTCGTCGTCGTCGTCGTCGTCGTCGTCGTCGTCGTCGTCGTCGTCGTCGTCAACGTCGCCGTCCCCATCTCGGCGTCGTCCTCCCCCCCCCCTCCTCGTTCTCCTCCTGGCCTCCTTGTCCTCCTCCCTCTCCTCCCGGCCTCCTCCTCCTCCACTTCTTCTTCTTCTTCTTATGCTTATTCTTCTTATTCGTTTTCCCAATTGTTATTATTATCATTTGTCTTATTCCTCCTCCTCCTCGTCCTCCTCCTGCTCCTCCTCCTCCTCCTCCTGTGTCCTCCTCCTCCTCCTCCTCCTCCTCCTACTCCTCTTCCTCCTACTCCTCTTCCTCCTCCTCCTCCTCCTCTTCCTCCTCCTCCTCCTCCTCCTCCCTCCTCCTCCGATATTTTCCTTATATGTAACTTTTCCCTGTCACACCCCGAGGCCAGTCGATTGGGCGGCCCAGGCGTTTCGCGTGAGAGTTCCTCACCTATACGATCCTGAAGCTTATAAGC